TAAATCCATCAAATTTTAAGCCCTACAAAAAAGCTCCTAAAAATTAAATCCAATCAAAAATTTATTGCAATAAGTTGGGTTTATAATTTAATTCATAACATTAAAAACTTAAAAATTAAAAAAATACTGAAAAATCAACTCATATTTACTTCCACACACACACACACTCTCTCTGGTAAAAAAAAATTAAAATTAAACACACTCTCTCTCTGGTAGAAAAACAAAAACAAAAACAAAAATATCTTTCTTGACAATATTAACACATATTTCTTTTATCTCCTTCTCACATAAAAAATTAAAAATAAATTAATTTTTTTTAAAAAATAATACTAAAAATAAAAAAACATCTATTTAATGTTTCTGTTTTAAGCCCCAAATTGGTTTGAGCTGCCCTTGCCCCCCACTGCCCCATCGCTCTACCGCTACCACCGCCACCACCACCGATTACTACCACCGTCGTCCACCGCCACCCCCCACCACTATCGTCATCTTATTCTTATATTTATTACCATTACCACTATCATCCCACTGCCACCATTGCCCACCGTCAGCACCCACCACCACCTGTCGTTGTCTACCATCGTCATCAACCACCATCACCCACCCCAACCACACTTACCACCACCACCTGTCATCGCCCACCACTGTAACCACCCACTGTCGTCTACCCCCACCAAACTTACCCTCACCACACACTTACCACCACCACTACTATCATCACCACCATTCGCCATCATCCATCACACTGTTGTCTAAAAGCACCCATCGTCGCCCACCACTACCATTGTCACTGCCCACCACCACCATTGCCAACTACTATCACTGTCATCCATCACCACCACCGCCGTCGTCACCTAAAGTTGTCACTACCATTATCGTCACTCAAAATCCATCACCACCATCACCCTTATTACCCATGGTTGCCACCACTACCACGGTCGTCACCACCCATCATAATCATCACTGTTTCCCACCATCACCACTACCGCCCACCACCACTGTCACCGCTTATCCCCACTACAATCGATACTTAAATTTATTTCTCTCTCCTTTATATTTGTGATTTGATTTTAAGTGTGAATATAAATATGTTTTATTATTGATCATTTTTTTATTACTATGTGCCTTCAGGCACAAGAAATAACAAGTATATATATATCGGAATAGTTATGATTTTTGATGTGTTTCATATGGTTTAAACTTAAAATAGTTGTTATTGTATGATGTTTATGCCTTGAGCTTTCTTGTGTTTTATTATAATTTTTTTAGATTTTAGTGTTATTAGTTTATTATGTTGTTAAATTGATGCAGATTACTTAATTGAATTGTTAAAATGATATAAAAATTAATAACTATAAAACGTGTTCACTCGATTTCCTGCCCGATGAATTTATACGGAAGTCAGGTAGGAATACTATACTTGATCGAGTAGGGTAAGCAAAAAAAAAAAATCTTCTGAAAAGTATCGGATAAGAAGATAGAAGACCATATTTGTGACCCATAGAGTAGGGTGAACACCCTTAATCAATTTTTTGATGTATTAAATATATATAGAAAGTACTAACAAACCTCTTGTGCCATATATAAAATTTATTTATTTTTTATTATTACCTTGTTTTATCTTTTTTAACTCTAATATTATTAAAAAATTATTCAAATAAAAATAATTTTTATTAACTATGAAAAAGTGAAGAAAAATGAGTGAAAATTTAAATTTAAAATAATTTAAAAAGAGAGTGAGAGTAGTTACAAAAAAAGAGTAGTTAAATAAGTCAAATAGAATAATTTGATTGAATAGAAGTAATTAAATATTTTAAAATTTTAGAAATTAAGCATTTTGGGGAGAGAAGACTTCGCCAAAAAAAAAATTTGTTTGTTTTCTATGTATAGATAGATTACATAATATTATTATTATAGGGCATTAATTAGGGAAGGGGTTTCAGTTTAATTTCTGATGCAAAAATGTCTTCAGTGATGAAATCCCTCGGATTGTCCTGGAGGGAGAGGGGGCCCGAAACCCAAAATAAACGTTGATCTACGTAGGCATTTGAATTCCAGCATCATCTACTTAAGTACACAATTGAATAGATAACTAGCTTTGTTTCCACCCACTAATTTANACATCTATTTAATGTTTCTGTTTTAAGCCCCAAATTGGTTTGAGCTGCCCTTGCCCCCCACTGCCCCATCGCTCTACCGCTACCACCGCCACCACCACCGATTACTACCACCGTCGTCCACCGCCACCCCCCACCACTATCGTCATCTTATTCTTATATTTATTACCATTACCACTATCATCCCACTGCCACCATTGCCCACCGTCAGCACCCACCACCACCTGTCGTTGTCTACCATCGTCATCAACCACCATCACCCACCCCAACCACACTTACCACCACCACCTGTCATCGCCCACCACTGTAACCACCCACTGTCGTCTACCCCCACCAAACTTACCCTCACCACACACTTACCACCACCACTACTATCATCACCACCATTCGCCATCATCCATCACACTGTTGTCTAAAAGCACCCATCGTCGCCCACCACTACCATTGTCACTGCCCACCACCACCATTGCCAACTACTATCACTGTCATCCATCACCACCACCGCCGTCGTCACCTAAAGTTGTCACTACCATTATCGTCACTCAAAATCCATCACCACCATCACCCTTATTACCCATGGTTGCCACCACTACCACGGTCGTCACCACCCATCATAATCATCACTGTTTCCCACCATCACCACTACCGCCCACCACCACTGTCACCGCTTATCCCCACTACAATCGATACTTAAATTTATTTCTCTCTCCTTTATATTTGTGATTTGATTTTAAGTGTGAATATAAATATGTTTTATTATTGATCATTTTTTTATTACTATGTGCCTTCAGGCACAAGAAATAACAAGTATATATATATCGGAATAGTTATGATTTTTGATGTGTTTCATATGGTTTAAACTTAAAATAGTTGTTATTGTATGATGTTTATGCCTTGAGCTTTCTTGTGTTTTATTATAATTTTTTTAGATTTTAGTGTTATTAGTTTATTATGTTGTTAAATTGATGCAGATTACTTAATTGAATTGTTAAAATGATATAAAAATTAATAACTATAAAACGTGTTCACTCGATTTCCTGCCCGATGAATTTATACGGAAGTCAGGTAGGAATACTATACTTGATCGAGTAGGGTAAGCAAAAAAAAAAAATCTTCTAAAAAGTATCGGATAAGAAGATAGAAGACCATATTTGTGACCCATAGAGTAGGGTGAACACCCTTAATCAATTTTTTGATGTATTAAATATATATAGAAAGTACTAACAAACCTCTTGTGCCATATATAAAATTTATTTATTTTTTATTATTACCTTGTTTTATCTTTTTTAACTCTAATATTATTAAAAAATTATTCAAATAAAAATAATTTTTATTAACTATGAAAAAGTGAAGAAAAATGAGTGAAAATTTAAATTTAAAATAATTTAAAAAGAGAGTGAGAGTAGTTACAAAAAAAGAGTAGTTAAATAAGTCAAATAGAATAATTTGATTGAATAGAAGTAATTAAATATTTTAAAATTTTAGAAATTAAGCATTTTGGGGAGAGAAGACTTCGCCAAAAAAAAAATTTGTTTGTTTTCTATGTATAGATAGATTACATAATATTATTATTATAGGGCATTAATTAGGGAAGGGGTTTCAGTTTAATTTCTGATGCAAAAATGTCTTCAGTGATGAAATCCCTCGGATTGTCCTGGAGGGAGAGGGGGCCCGAAACCCAAAATAAACGTTGATCTACGTAGGCATTTGAATTCCAGCATCATCTACTTAAGTACACAATTGAATAGATAACTAGCTTTGTTTCCACCCACTAATTTATTATATAGTCTTTAGAAAGAATTTAGCATGCGAGCCAAATTTGAGGGAAAGAAAAAGAAAAAGAAAGACACAACTGATCATACATATTACATACTCTAGTGTTCGTTCGTTTCTCAAATGACCACCCTCTAACCCCCCAAAAGAAGACTGAATAAAGAAAAGAAAAGTGATATAGATAGATCTCTGCTTTGTTGGTGATATCTAGCTTAGCTATCGGATCATATCTTCTTTCACGATTTGCTGTGATATATGAAGGTTTTCATGTGATGATTGAACTCAATCCAAGAGATTTTGTAACAGTATATACAACTTGCCTGATCAATAAAAGCGGATTGATGTGCGTGTGGTTTTGTAATAGTACCACCCACTTGTTTGTTTGTTGTAATTGTAGTAGGGCAATTGGCAGATTAAAGGAACATACCTTTATATATGTATATGACTTTATGCCAACTTGCATGCATATGGTTTGACAAAGTACTACCACATAACATAACATACTCATAAAACAAAGTACTACCTAGGCACCGGCAACTNAACTTTTTCACTCCATAAAAGTCGTAGGCTACCACATAACATAACATACTCATAAAACAAAGTACTACCTAGGCACCGGCAACTCTCATTGAAAAAAAAAAATAAATCAAGAAGGGCAAGATAAGCGATCTTGCCCCATATATGATCTAACATGCAAACATTTCCTAAAAAATTATTCAATTTCTTGGACGACGTATGGGCCCTTTTCTTCTTCTTGGCTCTCAGTGGAAAAACCATCCCTTCCCATGCGCTTACTAAGGGAATTCAAATCCTACCTCATAACTGATTAAAAAAACTTATAATGAGTACAGTGCACTTCATAAGTTCACATTTGCTGGGGGAGAGAGAGAGAGACCTGAAGCCTCGTCTAGATCTCAGGAAAGCGGCCTATAAAAGACTACTAGCTAGGGTGTTCCCTCGCAAAACAAACGTACCAGTTCAGTTAGTTTCTTAAGAACTCTTTTAACATCTTAAATCCTTCAGGAAGATGCCTGTATATATGTGATCCATCAAAATGTAATGCTAACTGATTACTTCCACTTAATCATCGAATCACTCCACGACTTTCGTTTGATTGACGATAGATCCACATACAAAAATAGGACACACTACTCTATATACTGACAAGAAGAGTCGATCAGATCAACAAGTTATAGACCAGATGATTAAGTCCGAACAACTTCACTCGAAAACTTACACCACACGTTTATGTCCGAAATAAAGATAAACATAGGAGTTAAAAATCAAGACACTCCCACTCAAAAATGACATATCAGAAGAAGATAACACATAATCCAGAATCACATCTAACTAACTAAGTGGTCAATACCATGATTCTCATTGTCCTACAAATCTCTCATAAGCTACTCATTTGACCGACTTGCATCAAATCCCTTGTGACCATGCTTCAGAAAGCCAGAACTAGAAAAGCTCTCCCCCAACTCATGTGATGACAAAGTACTTGAGACATGGCCGTCATATTGTCCTTCTAGCTGGTTCTGGTTCTGGTTCTGCTGCTGTGGCACTGAGGTGATAGAGGACAAAGCCGTTGATGAAGACTGTGGTGGAACAAACAGATGTTGATCATAGAGAGCAGAAGTGAAGTAAGGGAATTCGACGTCATTGCTTGAAAGTAGTTGTGCATATTGAAAAAGGTCTGGATAAGTGTCTTGTGACATCATCGGAGGGGGAACATTTGGCTCAGGAATTTGATCAGGAGAGTAAAACGAATCTCCATAACTGGTGTGACCCGTGAAGTATCGCAACTCAGTCTTCCCTTGAACTCGTTCGGGAAAATTGAGCTTAGCCTTGGAGCCTTTGAACTTGAGTGCAGCTTCATCATATGCAAGCGCCGCATCCTCAGCAGTGTCAAACGTGCCAAGCCAAACCCGGGCTGCCTTCTTTGGGTCACGAATTTCAGCCGCCCATTTGCCCCAAGGTCTTTGTCTTACTCCTCTGTAATGTTTCCTCGAAGTTCCTTCACAAGTATAGATACCATTTAGACATCGCTACTCATCTTTAATCCAATGATTATATTGAATTAAGTTCTCAAATTAATTTTAAATAACATTTAAAAAAAATAAGTGTCAATTTTCGACAAGATACGTTAATAAATGGAAAAACTCAACATGAGTTTCGGCAATTTGGATAGATGATAATTGGTCCTGTATCATAGGTTGACATGAGTAACTTGTTTATTATTATGTATTGTATATGGATTTTTAACTTCAGTATGTTTAACATTTTATCACAAAAATAAAGGAAAGACCCGTGATATGATGTAGTCTATGTCGTCACTTATAACACGAGCATAAAAATGTAATTTATACAGCATGTTTAACATGTGAATCAGTCTCATCCAACGTAACGAATATCCAGGCAATAAACAAGTTTTGTTAGCATCAAAGATTTTAACATGAATTGTTAATCTTACGANGCTACTCATCTTTAATCCAATGATTATATTGAATTAAGTTCTCAAATTAATTTTAAATAACATTTAAAAAGAAAATAAGTGTCAATTTTCGACAAGATACATTAATAAATGGAAAAACTCAACATGAGTTTCGGCAATTTGGATAGATGATAATTGGTCCTGTATCATAGGTTGACATGACTAACTTGTTTATTATTATGTATTGTATATGGATTTTTAACTTCAGTATGTTTAACATTTTATCACAAAAATAAAGGAAAGACCCGTGATATGATGTAGTCTATGTCGTCACTTATAACACGAGCATAAAAATGTAATTTATACAGCATGTTTAACATGTGAATCAGTCTCATCCAACGTAACGAATATCCAGGCAATAAACAAGTTTTGTTAGCATCAAAGATTTTAACATGAATTGTTAATCTTACGATATTAGGATCAACACCTAACCCATGGTAGTCCACACAAAGCATGTGGTGCACATACGCCTACAATGTGTCCACATCTTGATCACGTATGTGTCCACGGAAAGAATAGAATGATTTGAAGCTTGAATATATATCCCTTTGTATCACAAAGAAAGTGCATTATTAATTAAAAATAAAACTAATATCATATGAGAAAATTATTTTAACTTATTGGTAGTATTCACCCTAAATTAAACGTTAATTTATGAGGTAACGGTATGAAAGAACTCAAAATACACATAGCTACCTTCATACCCAATAACCTGGTCATTTCCCACGAAATGTACAAGCAATTTAAGTAAGATTTATAGGTTGCCCACTCAATAACAATGATCATAGATTCACAACTTATACCGAATTCGATCTTACACTTGATACAATGTTAAGCTACAGTAACATATACTAAAAAAAACTCACCCTTAAAAACAAACCTACAAGAAATTAAAGGGACCCAAATAGATCATATATGTAGCCAAATCTATACTCAACAAGGCCAAAGCATTGAAAAAACCTAAAACAAACTCAGTCACAACAAACAAAATCATGTTCACGTAGTTCACACTATGTTTGTCAAACATGCCAATGAAAAGAGATATCCAAAGTCCGAACCAAAGTTCGAACTGGAGACTAATGTAACCAGTGAGTTTAAATGGACTTAGACATACACAATATATATAGGGGCCGATGAGAATTATGAATGGACAAGATGGTAGAGATTGGTGCTCGGTTTTTGGGTAATGAAGGGTGACATACGACAAACTGTATAAGAAATTAAGGAGCTGCAACCTATAACCAAACAATATGTTTTGAGAAGAGGTCCTGAGGGATCGAGATCTAGAGTGTGTGTGTGTGTGTGTGTAAGTGAGTGTGTGTGTGTGAGAGAGAGAGAGAGAGAGAGAGAGAAGTTTAGTTCTTTACGGAAAGTAACATACAATGAATCTTGACGTACCGGGAAAAAGACATACANTAAGTGAGTGTGTGTGTGTGTGTGTGTAAGTGAGTGTGTGTGTGTGTGTGTGTGTGTGTGAGAGAGAGAGAGAGAGAGAGAGAGAGAGAGAAGTTTAGTTCTTTACGGAAAGTAACATACAATGAATCTTGACGTACCGGGAAAAAGACATACACTGAACTTGGCCAAAGCATAAAATTGAATGAAGATATACTTTTTGCATAAAAAACTTTCGTTCCCATTTGTAGTTTTGAAAATAACAGAAAAGTGAATATGAACAAGAGGCAAGAGCCGATCTATATCTAAACTAGAAGGAAGGATACGATTTCGATAGGAAGTTGAAGGAGTTAAAAAAGAAGACGAAACAGGGTTCAGATAGCGACAGACCACCAGCACGACTTTGACAAAATAAGCTCTCAGAATACAAATAAAAGAAAGGGGATAAAAAACAAAGTTGGGGTCGAGGATTTGTGGGATAAGTCCGGAATAAACTGCAAGAACTGACAAATGATTGGAACTGCATCGACGATACTGGGAGCTCTACAACTATATATGTTTAATTTATTCACAGACAAAGGTTTGGGGAAAAATATGCATGGATGGAAATAAAAAACTAGTAATGGTTGAGGCGCATCTAGTACCTTTATCTTGCATCGGTTGAGAAGGGTCATGATCTTGTCTCATGTCTGAAATGGCAGATTGCACCAGAGCTGGTGATGGGTTAATGTCACCGGTTCCGATAATTGTAGTGAGGCCTGAAACCATGGTGGAACTATCCTCTTCTGCCCTAGCTGATGAGTAAGCAGCGGGTTCAAAGAAATGCTGTTCCTTTTTCTCCTCCGATGCTTCCAAAGGAAGTGGCCGCTTGCCATGCCTTCGATCCACTTTCTAAAGCTTTTGAGTTCGTTCGTGACAATCGGTATCACTTCAGCTCATGAACTAGTCCAAAATGGAAGTTATCGTTCAGATCGAAAGGATGAACATGAATAGTAAGGACGGGGTCACGGAGGTGATGGCGTTTGAACAGCACAGCAGTGGAGGAGTTTGGAATCTACGAGAAAAGGAAGGGGCAACAGGATGGGAGAGGAGGGTTTTTATTGGCAGTGTGGCGCTTGAGTTTATCCTCTATTTTAGTTTCAGTGAGTTATTTTTTTTTTCAACATAGAAAATAAGAAAAATATATACATAGAAAAACAAAACCATACATAATATCTGTAAGGATCACAACATTTCACATGCCAGCATGCATTTAGGGTTGATATCAATAAAAAAAGCCGACGATTCGGGTACTTGGGTGGAGGTTCAAATCCTCTACTAATACTTGTTGAACTTAATTCGAATTTTTATGTCGCCAAATTTAACCAACATACCATCACTCACAACTCAGAATGAAATCACCTTCAATTTTTTTTTAAAAAAATTTTATAATAAAAATTAATTACCATGAATTCAAATAGCATTCATTATTTATAATTTTTTTATTTTTTGAACAACATTCATTATTTATAGTTGACTTCAACCAAACCCGATGGGTGTTCCACCATTGAAAAAATAGAGTAAATATAAATATATTTTAATTGGAGAATGAATATATACGAGTAGATATGAATTGTAGACAAAGCAATATTGTTGGAATACTAATTATAACTCGTGTTTGAAAACAAGATAAAATATAAGATTTGATCGTTTAAAAAATTGATTCAATTATACTAAATAGTAATTTTTTATTTCTTCGTTTATTTGATTTCATCATTTAAAATTTATTTTTATCTATCTATTTTTTAAAAATAGTATCAAAATGTTTTCAAAATGCAATATTTGGCAAAATTTTTCAACAAGTGTAAACTATCCTCTATGGACCATGTGTGAAACAATAATTGTGTTAAATTACAAATTAATCAAATATTAAATAATTAAATATATGATAAAATTGGATGATGTGATGATTTTAGAGAAAAAAATATGTGGGATAAAAATTTAAGTTCTTGGGTGTTTTATTTTATAGATATAAATACTTCATTTATATTCTTTCACTGGTGGAGTCATGTTATGGCCTAAGGGGGCCATGAACCCCCTTAATTTTTTGAAATTATAGATTATGCCCTTAAAATTATGCTTAATCACATTTTATAAATCATTCAAATTCTTAAAATTATAATTTATACATTAAATTATAGTCTTATTTTTTTTTATCCTCTTAACTATTAATGAGGCCACATTGAACTATTAATTATTAAAATTATGACAATTTACATAAATCATTAAATTTTAGTATTATATAAATTTGTAAATTTTAAACTATTTTAAATTATTAATGGTGTAATTAATTTAACTTTTACGTCTAATATTTCAACTAGTTTAGATTAACTTTGTTCATTCAACCAGTTTCTTGTTATACCATTATTTAGTCTTAAAGAGAAAATCTTAGCACCGTCTTGCTTGGCACCTTTCGCGTATTTGAAAACACAGGCACTGCATTTTTGCCATGGGAGTAGGAAGTTTTATGCGATGGATAGACGCAGGCCCGGGGGGGGGGGGGGGG